AGATATATATATATATATATATAAAGAAGCGCCTGTTTTCTTTTTTTCCTCTTTTTTTTCTTTGCCCGGACGAATGAATCTTTTTAGCTTCCTCTCACTGTGAATACAAAAATTTGACGGGTGTATGAGCCTTGTCCAGCTTCCGGCCCCCCATGTTCTGTTCTTTTTCCTTCATCCTTTTTTTTTGTCTCCTCTCATTTTGGCTTCTTGTGAGTGCAGCAAAGTATAGGTGCAGGCATACGCGTCCAGCGACGTGCATGTGTGCCTAATGAGAAGGCGTTGGAGTTTGCCACATGCCAGAAGCTCCATTCCCGCGGCCAATGGAGGCTTCGGCGTCGTTGATGTGGCACAAACGCATGCATGCACGCATACCTTTAGTCTTGCTTCCGTCATTATCTGCGTGCCCTGCCTTTGTCGTTCTCAGTGTGGCTGGCTCCCCCCCCCTTCTTTTTTTGTTCTTATTGTTCTTCTCAAATGGTGCGTGACCGCCTGTATCTCTTCCTTCTCTCCTGTGGGAAAAATACAAAAAAAACTGCGCATCGCCGAGATAGCTCCTGCTGCTAGACTTTCCAAAAGGTTAAAATAATCGAACAAAAACTAAAGAAAAAAAAGTAAAAGTAAAATAAAAATAGAGAGAAGGAGAAAGAGTGACTCGTTAGCAACGGTACGAGGTCAAGTAGACAAACTAGGGCATACATCCTGAGGAGGAATAAGCGGGAACAAACACCCACAGAAGGAAACCACTAATATCACGCCGGGTATCCGATAAGCTAACCAAGTCCAACAAACATGTTCAAGTGTGCGAGTCGCATTCTGTTGGCCGTCAAGACGATCTCCATCAACCCGCAGAAGCCTTATAAACTACACACTGCCGGCCGTGATGACCTTCCTCCTGTTCCGACCACTGCTACCTACGACACGGAGCAAATGAAGAAGGGCCTTGAAATGATGTTTCGTATTCGTCGTATGGAATCACTCTGTGACCAGTCGTACAAGCTCAAGAAGATTCGTGGCTTCTGCCACCTGTACATTGGCCAGGAGGCCATTCCCGTTGGTATGGAGAACATTCTCACCCTGGACGATCTCATTGTCACGGCATACCGTGACCATGCGTGGTACCTTGCTCGGGGTGGGACACCGGGGGAGGTTTTTGCCGAGATGTTTGGCAAAGAAGGTGGTTGCTCTAAGGGAAAAGGCGGCAGCATGCACATGTATTCGGTAAAGAATAACTTTTATGGGGGTAACGGTATTGTGGGTGCGCAGGTGCCAATTGGTGCCGGCCTTGGATGGCGCTTTGCCCTTGAGAACCGTGATAAGCCACGCAACGTGGCGGTCACCTTCTACGGTGACGGCGCCGCGAATCAGGGCCAGGTGTTTGAAGCCATGAACATTGCCGCACTGCAGCGCATTCCTGTCATCTTCTGCTGCGAAAACAATCAATTTGGTATGGGTACAAGCAAAGAGCGTGCGGCGTACCAGCCGGAGATGTACCGCCGCGGTGACTACATTCCTGGTCTGAGGGTAGATGGCATGGATGTACTCGCAGTGCAGGAGGGCACTCGGTGGGCGAAGGAGTGGTGTCTCTCTGGAAAGGGGCCTGTTGTGCTTGAGTTTGACTGCTACCGCTACGTTGGGCACTCCATGAGTGACCCCGACAGCCAGTACCGCACAAAGAGCGACATCCAGCGGGTGCGTAAAACGCGTGACTGCATACACAAGATGAAGGAGTTCATGCTTGCCGAGGGAATCATGACGGAAGAGGCGATGGTGAAACTCGAGAAGGAAATCAAGAAGGAGGTTGACCAGCAGCTGCTGCCGGCGGAGAAGCAGAAGCCGACGCCGCTTAGCGAGCTATTCACTGACATTTACACTGGAGAGCAGTACGAGCATCGCACGACGCAGGGCACAGTCTATGCCAAGCCTTGAAGCTCAGCGTGATAGAGGAAACTGGCGCGAGCAATGGCCCGTAAAGTGGGCCGAGAAGAATTCAACCAATAAGCCAACGCAGAGAATACACGACGATGGCACCAGTGGTCTTGGTGTTCTCTTTGATCATTTATTAGTTATACTTTTTTTGTTGTTTACGTAAGTGTGAGTGTTACCGGAGAGAGGGTTGTCGAGGAGGCTGTGCAAATTCCCGGGGGTAGTTCGCAGTAAAAGTGGCCATTCTGGAAAAAAAAAAAAGAAACTTGGAATGGCTTAGAGGAGGGTGGGGGGAGGGGGAAGGACGCGGAAGGGAAATGGTGGGCCGATTTGCGACGGCGGTATGTTAATAACAGAAAACAAGAAAAAAAAGGCGAAAACAAAAAGAAGAGGAAGAGGTTTGGAGAAACAACTTCAACGCCTCGCCAACACAAACACTCTCACCACTGCCGCTTTGTGTTGTGCGTCCGTCGCCCATGGTGTCTCCGTCAGCGCACGCCGGTGTTCAACTTCTCACTTGCACAACGAGGGAGAGGCTGGGGAACAACGGAAGGAGACTCTTTTACTTCTACTACGACTACTAATAAAGGAATGTAACAATGAATTGAAGGCACAAAAAAAACAAAACAACAACAGTGACGGAAATTAAGGTACAAAAGGAAACTTGCTAACCGTAGGTGAGGATGAAATAACGATAAAGAAAGGAATGAAAGGGTAGCGTAGAAAATAAACAAGGGCA